GATGGCTCAGCGGTTAAGAGCACCGACTGCTCTTCCAGAGGTCCTGAGTTCAATTCCCAGCATCCACATGGTGGCTCACAACCATCTGTAATGGGATCCGATGACCTCTTCTGGTGTGTCTGAAGACAGCGACAGTGTACTCACATACATAAAATAAATAAACCTTAAAAAAAAAAAAAAAAGGTTGAAGCCTAGAGATCCAAACATGAAAACTTTGTGGGTGGAAGAGACAGGGAGAAAACGCTACACAGCTGCTGTAAATAAGGTCCCAGGAGCGGGTGCTGCCCACCAACACTGGCACCACAGCACATGGATGGATTAGGTGCTGTGTTTCCTGCAAAACATTCCCCTCCCTTTGACTTTCCCTTGTTTATTTTTTTTTGAGATTATAATTGCATCACTTCCCTTTCCCTTTCCTCCCTCTAAACCTTCCCATGCTCTCCTTCAAAGTCATGGCCTCTTTATTATGTGTCAAAATATGTCCTTCAACTAATACAAAGTACAACAGCCTTGTAAACTCCTTAGTTAGCATCATATAGTTCAGCTATTGCCTAAAGCAGTACATTTCATTTCCCTGTGAAGAAGTGTAACAGCCTGTGCTCTTCTCTCTGACTTTCTGTGTGTGTCTCTTTCTCTGGAGGAACAATTTTGAGACATGGCTTCTCTGTGTAACCCTAGCTGTCTGGAACTAGCTCTATAGACCAGGTTAGCCTCAAACTCAGATCTACCTGCCTCTGCCTAGGATGGCAAATCTGCTTGCCTATGTGCTAGAATTAAAGGTATACAATCATCCCACTGTCTTCTGAATTTTTTGAAATGGAATGAGGAGACACTTGGGTTGCAGCTATGGATGTAGCTACCTCAGTCAAAAGGGAAACTGGCAACATGGTATCTGCACTACATGATCCCAGCAGACACTTTCCAACTACTAAGTCCACCTGCTGTTTTCACCAGAGCTTCTCCCTCAAAAAACAGAATTTTTATAAGAGAATGAAAAAGCCCAGGTGTTTAAACAGCAGTTTTCAACAGAAAAGAATTCTATTGAAATGAACTTGATTACTTTAGAACAATCCTTTCACCAACTGTAGAGACAAATGTCATCTCTACTGACTCCCCAACTATTTCCTCTCACTAATTTGTCTAAGAATTATTTCCTGACTAACCTCATGATACACAGAAACTTTCATTTTGCATTTTAATATAATTTAAGCATTATTTACTTCTATGGTTATACAAAGGTAAGCTTTATGCATACATGTCTACTCAACAAAATTAGAAACTTCTTCAGAATAAAATCTATGTCCTAGATTTTTTTCACATAAAATTAAGTTTATACAAGAAGCACCCAATAATTAAACTATAAACTTGCCCTTCAGAGACATCAAACAAGATCCAAAGATAACCTGATACACTGTCATCATTGCATTACCGTGTCAGCCATCACACACCGAGTACCAGCTGCACAAGAACATGCTGGTCCTCCTGCTCAAGAACTGCCCAGGTCTCCACACTGTCTCGTTTCTCATTTAAAACATATATGTTCAAAACATTCAAAACTCAGGTATCACATCTTAGGTCATCCCAAACAGTTCTCATGCCATTACTACACTATAAATAAAACTTTCACTACCGTCACTCACAACCACCTTTGATTTGGTCCAATAGGAAGTGAATACACAAATGAGCCACTGTACAGCACAATAAGCAGCTGAAAAACTGTAACTGAGGGTGAACAAAGCCAGCACTCTGTGGATTCACTCTGGCTAGAACAGAAGGAGAATCAAATACGTGTTCAGGGTTCCAATCATGAAAATTGGTTTGTCTACTGGATTAAGTTATGAATATAGAGCTTTACTTACATTGCTTGTGTGTGTGTGTTGCTTTTTAAAAATAAACAAAACAAAAAACCTCATTTAAAAGTTGTTTTTTCATTCTAAGATTTATTTATTTACATTTTATGTGTATAGAGTTTTGCCTGCATGTGGCTGTGCACTACATGACCACACATATGAATTGTCTGGAGGCAAGAAGAAGGTATTGGAGCCCCTAGAACTGGAGTAATAGATGGTTGTGAATAATTGTACAGGTGCTGGGATTCAAGCCCAGGATCCCTGGAAGAACAGTCAGTAGTAGCCAATTTTGCCACTCCCGAAAAACACATTTTTTCCTTTGTTTTTATAAAACATTTTTTATATTTGCTCTAATTTAAAAAAAAATTCCCTCTGGAAATGTGCCATGGGAAACTTTTCAGGCTAATATGAAAACCTCATTTTTTCAAAAAAGTTTTTTGAGACAGGGTTTCCCTGACACCCTTCTGTACTCGCACTCTGCAACACCGTGTGAACCAAGTTGGCCTTCAAAACAGAGATCTGCCTGCTTGTGCCTCTCCAAAGACTAAATGAGCTAAAGGGTTGTACCACCACACCTGGCCTGAAAAAAACACATTCTTAATGAAATTACCTTGTAAGCAGTTCAGATAATTTATAGAAAGACTAACTTGTGAGGCTAGGCTGAAAAGCAGGTACAAAATGGTTGAGATGAAAGAGAAGGATACCTAACCCTGAGTTTTTAGATATCCAAATTTTCTATTCTTCTTTAAAATTTTGTTTATTTTATGTGTATAGGTATTTTGTCTGCATGTATGTGTACCCTGTGTGTGCCTAGTGCCCTTGGAGGTCAGAAAATGGTCTGCCTTTAATTCCAGCACTGGCCAATCTCTATGAGTTTGGGAACAGCCTGGTTTACAGAGCTCCAAGACAGTCAAGGCTATGTATATCTGTCTCAAAAAGCAAACAAAACAGGGCTAGAGAGATGTCTCAGAGGTTAAGCACTGGCTGCTCCTCCACAGGTCCTGAGTTCAATTCCCAGCAACCACATGGTGGCTCACAACCATCTATAATGAGATCTGATACTCTCTTCTGTCCTGCAGAAGTAGAGTTTTTATATACATAAATAAATAAGTCTTTAAAAAATAAACATACAAACAAAACAGATAGCCTCACTGGGTTTGAATCCCTGGGCCTGAAGTTATAGATGCAAAGAGATTTGAACTGCCATTGTGGGTAGGGTCCTCTGGAAGAACAGCTGAGACATATCTGAAGCCTAAGGGATATGTATTTTCTTTCAACCCATATATACATATATATGTGTATGTGTGTATATATATATATGTATATATATGTGTGTGTGTGTGTGTGTGTGTATACATATATATGAATGACTGGTTGTTTTCCTAATACCTGACAAGGCCCTTTATTCTTCCACAAAGTCTTGTTATATTATCCAGGTTGAACTCCTGATCTCATGCAATCCTTCTGCCTCAACCTCCTAAATACCTTAGTTTCAACACACCAGCCAACAGGCCTACCCTTTCCCTTATTTATTCTGTTTGTTTCTGAGACAGTGTCATTCAATAGTCCAGTTTATTCTGAAACTCACAATGTAGCCAAGAATGTCTTTGAACTCACAGCAATCCTCCTGTCTCAACCTACCAAGATCTGGCATTATAGACATGAGCCGCCATGTCTAACTTTCCTGCCTTTTCTCAGTGTACTCTCTCTTTACTGTCTCCTCTCAGATGATACTACTACCCATATATCTGACTCTCTATGTCTCACAAGGATGAGACTAATGTAAATAATAACTAACTGGGAGGTGGGGCAATGGAAATAGCTCGGTCAGCAACTAGTAGGTTACCATGCTCCAATGGATGTCCTACACAGCTTATACAGGCAGAACTAACTAACTGGATGTAATGGAACATTTAAAAGAAGAAGGAGGAAGAGGAGAAGGAAAGAGAAGAGGAAGAAGAGGAAGAGGAAGAGGAGGAAGAAGAAAAGAAAAAGGACATGAAGCTGGCAGGAGCCCAAGGAGAATGAATGGAAGGGAAGAAACAGGGATGGGTAGGTGGATGTGACCATAACACACTGAATGAAACTCTCAAAGAATAATTTTTAAAAATTTTTTCAAGCCTGGGTGTTTATTATGAATAGTTAACACATGTGCACTGTATAAAGCTGTAAAGGAATACAAGTGTATTATGAGAAGAGTGACCTAAAGTGAATCTGGTCTTCCTCTTTGGAGACAACCACTACCTCTCTATCTACCATTACTAAAACAAGAGGCTTTGCTGTTGTAAACAGGCTGGCCTCACCACATTCAACTTGGGGACATGTTTGGGGAGAGGCACTGGTCTGTGAACTAGGTAACTCTAGCCAACGTGTCTAAGAGAATTCAGGATCTGCAGATAACAATAAACACAGTGCAGGGATCCAGAAGAGAGAATGAACAGATTTTATATTTATTCTGCACCATATAAGCTACAATACTGGGGAACTTTAGACACACGGCTGGTGATTATTAGCTTTCTTATCAATAAAATAATGTTACTGTTGTCAGCTTCATTAAGTTCTTGTAGTGTAATGTAGGTTAAGTTAAAAATGTTGCAGGTGGTGGTAGTGGACACCTCTGATCCTAGTACTGGGGAGGAGGCAGATAAATCTCTGAGTTCAATGCCAGCCTGGTCCTCAGAGTTCCAGGACAGCCAGGGCCACACAGAAAAAAATCCTTGTCTCAAAAAAAAAAAAAAGTTGAATGCTTTGCTCTGTTAGTGTTTTAGATATTTGGAACATATAGTTGTGAGCTTCCATGTAGATGCTGGGAACAGAACTCATGTTCCCTGGAAGGACAGTGCTTTCTCAGCCACTGAGCCATCTCTCTAGCACCAACTGCTTTGCTCATTCTAGGCCTTCAACTTTCAGCTTTCCTTGTGGAATATTTTATAGAGTTTTTGTCACAGTTGTTACTTGGTCTCTGCTCTGTTTAGAGACAGAATCTTACTCTGTAGCACAGGTTGGCCTGAAAGACACAGGAATCCTCCTGCCTCAAAATTTAACTCCATGTGCCCCAATTTCTACTGGGTGGGTAGGAGGAACTGTGTGATAATGACAACATTTCCATGAACACAATCTATTTGCAGAATCAAAGATTCTGACAGTTACCTTTTGTTCTTCTCTTTCTGTTGCATGGTGGCACTTTTCAATTCTCCAATGCCTCAAGAAATCTCGAAGATATCCAAAGAGGGTGAGTACACCATAGCCCACATATGTGAGCACAGCAACCAGCATGGGTGTTTCTTCAAAAGCTTCATTAAACGGTCTTTTGTACAATCCTCCATTTTCTGTAACATGATGAATCTAAGAGAGCAATTTAAAATGTTTATTGCAATCACAGACCAATGAAACGCTAAGGTCATTCTTATTTTCAAGAGTAATGATTTAAAAATCATTTATGAGCCGGGCAGTGGTGGTGCACGCCTTTAATCCCAGCACTTGGGAGGCAGGCGGATTTCTGAGTTCGAGGCCAGCCTGGTCTACAGAGTGAATTCCAGGACAGCCAGGGCTATACAGAGAAACCCTGTCTCAAAAAAACAAAACAAAACAAAAATCATTTATGTACAGTAAAAGGGAAAGGAGGAAATGAAAGAGTCAACAACATCTAACAATGATTTCTATCATAATTTCCTGAAACAGATTCTAAATACACTATTATTTCAGGGAACATGCTTTCCTTTATCCTAATAAAGTAAAAAAAATATTTAAAAAAGCCTAGTCTAAGAAATACTGTATTAGCTTACCAACAAAGTGCTCATATGTCCAAAAGTGAATTCAGTTTTATAACACAAATATGTGCCAGGCGGTGGTGGCGCATGCCTTTAATCCCAGCACTTGGGAGGCAGAGGTAGGCAGATTTCTGAGTTCGAGGCCAGCCTGGTCTACAGAGTGAGTTCCAGGACAGTCAGGACTACAGAGAAGCCCCGTCTTGAAAAAAAAAAACCAACAACAACAAACAAACAAACAAACAAACAAAACCCAAAAATGTGTGTTAATGTTTTTCTACCTAAACATTCCTAAAACTATTCAGCTATAAATCACTCAAAAAACACTCAAATGACTTACCAGATCTAGGCTGCAGCAGGTTTTACTGCCTTTCCTCAGTGATAATACACTTATAACAGTAAAAGAAGGGCTGTCGAGAGAACTCAGCAGCTAGAAGCTTTTGCTGCCAAGGCTGACAACTTGACAATCCCTAGGACCCACATGATGGTCTCCCTCATAAACCGCCTTTTGTCTCCCACAAATTGTTCTCTGACTTCCACACGTGAGCTGCTATACATAGCACACAGGTGCCCACACATGCACACACACACTCATAAATAATACATGTAATATAGCTAGGTGAGAAAGGATCCTTCAAGGAGGGATGGGAAGAGGAAGAGAGAAAGGGGTAGAGTCATATCAACCCAAGTAAGAACTGTAAAAAAGCCTTATAGAAACCCAGTACTTTGTAAGATAATCTTTAAAAAAATAAAACATTGGCCGGGCGGTGGTGGTGCACCCCTTTAATCCCAGCACTTGGGAGGCACTTGGGATTTCTGAGTTTGAGGCCAGCCTGGTCTACAGAGTGAGTTCCAGGACAGCCAGGGCTACACAGAGAAACTCTGTCTCGAAAAAAAAAAAAAAGAATCAGACTGGCTGAGCTGGCTGAGTGAGGTGGTAGACAACCTGTATGCCATGGTTTAAAAGAGGGAGGCAGGAAGGTTAGAGATTTCAAAGCCTTTTTAGGTACATAGTGTGTGTGACTCTTGCCTGGGCTAGTAAAGCTCTGTACAAACAATAACAACAAAAACCTAACCAAACAAGAACTAAAATGGTTTAGAAGATGCTATAGAATTGTCCATTCTCTCGCACTACCTACTCTCTCTCTCTTCAAAATTTTATTCAGTGTATATAAGTGTTTTGACTGAATATGTCTTCATACCATCTGTGTGCCTAATGCTCTCAGAGGTCAAAAGAGGATGTCAGCTTCCCTGGGACTGACCTTTCATGAACTACAAAATTTAATAAACTCACGACCTCTGGAGCAGTCAATGTACTTAACCAATGAATTAACTATCTTACCAGTCTCACAACCCTGATTTCTTATGTCTCTTTCTAGGCAGTTTTACATACATACATGCATGCATAGATGTATGCACACACATGTATATATACATATATACATGTATATGCATATATGTGTGTGCGCATGGTTTATCTTTTGCTTGCATGTTGCCATTATAGCTTTGGTTAAGGGTACCTTTTCTTTTTCTTTTTGCCTTTAAATTTCATGTGTGAGTGTTTTGCCTGCATGAATATCTGTGTATTCCCTGATTGTCTTCTTTATTTTTTTTTAGATTTACTTATATTTATTTAATATATATGAGTGCTCTATCTGCATGTATACCTGCATGCCAGCAGAGAGCCTCAGACTTCATTAAAGATGGCTGTGAGCCACCATGTGGTTGCTGGGAATTGGTCTCAGGATCTCTAGAAGAGCAGACAGTGCTCTTAACTGCTAAGCCATCCCTCCAGCCCAATTGTCTTCTATAAAAGCATGGCATTTATATGGCAAAGTTACCTAGTAAAACTGAACCCTTCATATAAGCAAGTGAGCCTAATCTGAGCACTAGAGAAACAGCAGCATTTTATACTCCAGTGATAGAAGCAGAAAACAGATAAGAATATAGATGTGCCAACATGTCAGAATTACAAATGTCATGTGTCACCGCTGCCGGGCGGTGGTGGCACACCCCTTTAACCTCAGCACTTGGGAGGCAGAGACAGGCAGATTTCTGAGTTCGAGGCCAGCCTGGTCTACAGAGTGAGTTCTAGGACAGCCAGAACTACACAGAGAAACCCTGTCTCGAAAAACAAAACAAAACAAAACAAAAAGAGTTTTGCTATATAACCCAGGTTGGCCTTAAACTCACTATATAGCCAGGCCTGGAGATATGGCTCAGCGTAATCCCAGCACTCGAGGCACAGGTAGAAGGATCTCTGTGAATTCAGGGTTAGCTTGCTCTACAAAGCTAGTTCTAAGACAGCCAAGGCTACACAAAGAAACACCAATCTCTGTGAAAAAGAGTTGTTGGGTTCCTTTTGGTAACATTATGCTAACATGACCAAGGAAATAAGCTCAAATCACAGATGTGGCCATTGGAGTCCACCCTACACAGCAAAAAGTGTTCTCAGTAAAGAAAACTGGACACAGGCTGCCACACTCAACTATCTAAGCAAAGAGGTTGGTGTGACAAGATCGGGACATGCTGAGATAACGAGCAGGATATGTGGCAGAGCTGCATTTGCTCAGCCTCCTACTAGAGCCTGTCTGTCACGATGTTGCTTGACTGAGTCAGAAACTGCTACAGTGGAAGCATGGGTAGTGAGTTAGAGAAGTCTAAGATTCAAATATCCTCACAAAATCATATTGTTGAACACTTGGTCCCAAGATGGCGGTGCTGTGGTGGAGCCTTTGGGACCAGAACCCTAGTTGGCAGCAATCGGTCACCGGGAGTAGGCCTTGAAGGTTATCACAGAACCTGATCCTAACCTAGAGTTCTGTTTCCCTGTCCACAGCCACAAGGTCAGCACGCTCTTGCCACATATTCCTGCCTGCATGCAACTGCTCCGTGGTGCCTTCACCAGCATGATGGACTCTACCCCTGAAACTGCTTCTGTCAGGTATTCTGTCACAGCTGTGAGAAAAGCAACTAACACGGGCATTAACTCTTGCAGACATACTTGCCCAGTGTGCCTCTTAATGGATGCCTTTCAGTCTATATAAAGCTGCAGGCCGGCCTCTGTTTACAGTAGGATAATAAAATCATGTCAAATGATGTTTTCCAGTAAGTCCTGGAAGCTAGTTTCAGTCCATTTCACAAGGGATAGACACTGCTAAACATTAGAGACTTTATCTGATAAAAGGAGATATGGCTACTACTTTGCAAATGTTTCCTGCTGATAAACCCATGGCCAGCTTTGGCATAGCTTGTGTGACTTACACAAAGGCTTACACTATTCTCTCTAGTATGTGTGGTATGCTGTAGGAGAGGCTCGTGCACTTCAGTAAAATTCCAAGAAAAGGCCAGCCTTCATTTTCATGGGCTTTTCTCATACCACTTCCTCCCGATTGTGTGCTTGTACACTCTGTGTATGAGTTCTGTCTGTGTTGTGTATGTGTTATCTGAGAAGCATTATGGCTATCTAGTATTCTGTCTTTGGTACCTCTCTTCTACCTGAATTCCCTCTTTTACATACTTTACCAACTCCATTGCTTCAACTACCACTCATCCCTCTTTAGCCAATTCTCAAGTATCTAATTTAATGTTCCAAAAACTGCTAATGAATTCTGAACTATCATATGGGTACTGGGAATCAAACCCAAAGCTCTCTGGAAGAGCGGCCAGTACTCTTAATAGCTGAGCCATCTCTCTAGCTCCTACTAATTAATTCTGAATTCAATGGTCTGGTAAAGTCACACAAACTGAATACCACCAAGACTCTTCTAACTCAGTAACTTAAAGGTATGAACTTATGCATTCTTATTTGCAAAATGAGGATACTATTTACTAAGAAAGGCTCTTCTCTCATTTTTTTAAACCTTTTTAATCAACTAAGTTTATTTGACAACATTATACATGTGTACAGTACATTCATTCTATTTCCTCTTGTCTTCCACCTTCTCTTACTTTCACCTGTTTTGCACCCTTACAGGTCCTTTCCTCACATTTAAGTCATTTGCTGTACACCTTTAATCCCAGCACTCGGGAGGCAGAGGCAGGCAGATTTCTGAGTTCGAAGCCAGCCTGGTCTACAGAGTGAGTTCCAGGACAGCCAGGGCTACACAGAGAAACCCTGTCTCGAAACCCCCCCCCCAAAAAAAATCATTTGCTGTTTTGTAATGCTATGAGTTTAACCAGGATAGTCTGTGTGGTCACAGGTTTAGCCTTTGTGTTTTGTACACAACTAAAGGCAACAACTGCCCCTTCCCCAGAATCCTTCAATAGCCAATAGTTCAGTAGGGAGATACAGACCTTCTGAACGCTTCCTCATCCATCCACGACTGGCCGGTATAGGCCCAGTGCAGCCAGCTGCAGCTGCTGTAAGATCATGTTTGCAATGGCTGTGTCATAGCCTGAAGACAGCATTTCACATTTCTCCTCCCAGTCCTCCAGCACACAGTAGGTGCTTTGTAAAAGATGTCTTTTGTTTGTTTGTTTTAAGGATGGGGTCTTATGTAGTCTAGGCTCAAACTGCTTATGGAACTTGAGCTTCTCCATCCTCCTGTGCCCACTCCTGTGCTGTACCACACTATA